AGAAGTTTGATACCATCTAATGGTTAATACTAGGCTCAATCAACATTTTTTAAGATTAACCAATTTAAAGTATCTATCAATACAATTATGTAGGCAAATGATGTAGTTGGATGTTGTTCAGCATTAGACCTTCATATTTTGAAAGCATTTCAAAATGACTCTTCAATGATGTGCCTGTCCTCCTTGAAAGGCTTGGCTGATTAATTGTCATACAAGGAAGTTAGTGATGCACAATACTGTCATCTGCAGGAGTTTAATTTGAGCAGTAACTCGGTCCCTAAAACTTTTAACACCAGGGCTCAACTCTGGAAAATATAAAAGTATAAAAGTCATTGAAGTATCGCGCAGCACATGCTGAAAGCTTTCCCCTTGATTCAACGAAGCATCCCACTCATTTCTACTAAAGATGGTTCAAAGTTAGAAGAAAGGACATCCAGACAGGGACATTAAGGTAAGTCATCAATAAAAAAAAACACATCAAAGGAACAATTCTTATTTGGTTCAAGAGGGAGCTATATTTATCACAAGACAGCCATGCTTCAGTGGTAGAATACATGCTTATAGAAAGTTCATTCTTTAGCAGTAAAATCAAAAGCTTAGGTAATAGATGATGAGAAATACCTTATCCAGACAAACACGGAAGTGTGGTGTCAGCCAGGAAATTGGAAGAAACAAGACAGATTCAGTATAAAGCAGACTCAAGTGATATTTAAGTGCAAGAACTGTTCTTGTTTTCCAAGACATAAGTTTAGGTGGGGAAATGAAGTGAGCTCATGAAAGGCAAATTGAGGTCCAGACAAAGTTGTCAAGATTGAGAAACACTGCTATAAAGGAGACCCTTTTGCTAGGAAATCCATAGTTTGGTGGTAAATTTTGAAAACGTTTTAAGAGGCTAGGTGAAGAACTTTATATATATAAAAAAGAGGATCTTTTATGCATCTCTGCTTTAGATATAGATGACCAGAAAGGTGTAAGAAACAAGATAAATCCACACATGGATATGCAGCATTTAGGTCAGAATAGATGCCCTTAGTAAACAATGGGAATGAGTGGAAATGGCAGACACAAATGTTGATTGAAGAATCTTAATAACAGAGTGATATATATATATATATATATAAAAGTAAAATGAGATGTCATTAACCAGATTTATTTTAGCTTAGTGTGTTCTGTTGACCCATTTGTTATATCATTCACAGAGAAGAGTTTATAAAAGAGTTTTATAATATTTTAGACACTTTCTTCAAAGATATTTGTTATGTAGCTGCTTCTGATATTATTTTGAATGGACAGACACAGGAGCAAGGAAAAAATAAATAAATTCTTGCTGATTTCCCCAGGACCTACCTTTGTGCTTCAGGTGAACTCTTGGCTGTTATTGGTATGTTGTGCAATGGAATTTAAAGGACAAAATCATACAAGGTTTCATATTGGCTATTTTACTTTCTGTTCCAACTAGCAGAAATATACCCAAGGCAAATGAAGGATAAATATTACATTTTGGATGTCTCCCCAGCTTCCCATTCTAATAATGCATAAAATATAGACCTCCTGACAATTATGTTGTTGTAAAGGCTCCAGTGTTAAGTCAAAGATTTGATTTTTGTGTCCACATTCAAAATAGATTACTATTGAGCACCAGATTCATGAGCTACATAGTAAATAGCTGCAGTCCTCTTAATGAACAGTAAATAAAATTCTTTTAAAAAAAACTAACGTCCAGGAATTAAGGAAAAGGCAGGCAATATTTTGTGACTGCAAATTGCATTAATTTTTAAAAAAGTGTTGGCCAGCAGAGGGCACAAGAAAGGACAGAGAGACTGACACCAGGAGAAAGCTGGGCAGAAGTATCAGACTTTTCTGTATTTTCAATATGAGTAAGCAACAGTTCTTTTTCTTTTTAGGAAACATAATATTTAAATATTTATTTAAAATATTTTAAAATTCTGCTATACTAATTTTAAAAGCACCCATCATGGAGGCTTAAATGACAATTGCATTCCTTATTCTCTTTTCAGTTTGCATTTTTTTTGCTGAAGTTTGCAATAAAAAGAGTTTAGAAGGTCCCACATGCAGGCTGCCGGTTGTCTGGATGATAGAAAAGTGCTGTTTTCCAGGCCTTATCCACAAACTTTGGCAGATGTAACCTAACTTTAAAACTTCCCAGTAACACACACACACACACACACACACACACACACACACACACACACACACACACACACACACACGAGAAAAAACTCAAGGCAGCTAATATTACATTAAAACTTAAAGTCAAAAGAGCTCACAGCAATATTAAAAAGACAGATTACAGATGATCCAGGACAGTTAAAGGTGAGGTGCTCACTTTTCCAAGCTTGGCTTCTGCTTTGGTCTCAGCTAAGTTTCTTTCTTCCTTCTCTCTTCCTGCAGCAATGCTCTCCCAATGGGACCTAGAAATGCAGCATATCTTCATCAATTAGCCATGATCAGCATAGAGAAGGGTCATAAACCCCTCTGCCAATCCTTGGGGGATTCCCACTGCCTGTAAGTGGGCTGTCATCATCCCAGATCTTAGGTAGCACATTCTGCTTACAGGGAACACCAGGGACCCTTTGCCTGGAGAGCATCTGCTCATCTTCTGGTTATCCTTCAGCTGTGAGATGAATCTAGGGATGTGTGTGCCATATGCAAAAAGATGGTAGATCAAGGTGAGATATTGAGAGAGAGTCAAAGTAAAGTATTGAAACATACCATCTTAAGTAACTCAGGCTCAGATGATCTAAACAATAGTCTTTGGATATCTATGATGAAGGGTCCTATATGCTGTCATGGTTTGCAGGATGTCATGAAGTAGCTAGATACTTTATTTATTTACCTTTTTAAAACATCTCTATATGGAGTTTTTGCTGCAATAGCCTTCCTGTCTAATATGCCAGGTCCCAAATCTGATAGCGCTTAGGAACATTTTCATAATTTCCACCAGCCATTTACATCTAACATGTATTTTTGGGAGGATTGTTTTAACTATTAATTTCTGGCTTATCTTAAATTCAATTTTAAGTTTCTGTAATGATAGTATATCATTTTGGGATTTTCTAAACAAACAGCAATATATTAAGTAAATAATAAAGGCAAAGTGTTTGATTCTGCTCTACTGTGCACTATGCCCAGAAGGGACTATACTTGCCTTTGCATACTAGCCTATTGAACTGTGGAGTTCTTGGGAAATTATCCTCTTTTCTCTCCTGCCCATTAGCACAAATGGGAACCACACACTTCACATCTAATGGAAGAAATACGTAAAGACTACTTTTCCTTAATTACCAGTTCCCGTTTCTTGTAAATCAGAAGCCTTTTCTCTTTTAACCTTTTAAGTATGCCCTGTTAATAGTTTGTAAGAGTGCTTAGGATTTCCAAGAAGTAGTTGCTGGTTTAGTCTAGTGATTTTTAAACAAATGGTCATGTATATTTTCATTGTAATTAACTTGGCTAACCCCAAGGTGCTTCAAGTCTGTTTTTTTACCTCTCCCTCACCTAAATTCATCATTTTTTTCAGAGTAAAGAATCAAATTATTTGTGTTCTGTTTTTCTGCTAACGAGTAGCACTATGCACATCTATATACACTCTTCTGACCGGGAGTTACATCAGACAAGAATTGGGTTTGTTACTGGCGCTGCCTGCCACAGGACATGCGCAAATGTTTAGCTGGAAGAAGGAATAAGAAAGCATGGGGGGAGGAGAAATTCACATTAATGTATTCGCTTTATGAATGCATTCAGCCACCACTTGTTTTAGTTGTTGTACTGCTATGAATCGGAAACTCTGTACTTTCATGTTTTCTTGATCATTAAAGGTAGGAAGAAGGAGGCTGTTTAATCAACTACAGTTACTAAGTTTGGAAACAGTATAGGCTTTAAGTAACTACAGATACTTCCTTTGGCAACAAATTTAGCGGAAACCTTCAAACTCCCTTCCCTTGCAGCTCCCCCAAGGGAAAGGAAGTACTATTAGGATCTTCTCTTATTTTGCTACATTAAAGAAACATCGGATATTGACAGAAACTCTTCAAATGAGAAAGTTTTTTCCCCAGAAATTGCAGTTGGAAATCTACTTCTAAGACAGCTTTCTGCTTTCCTCCTTTAGAAAGGAGGAACTGGGAGATGGCAAAGACTGAACCGTGCAGATAAGAATAACATATCAATTAAAAAAAAGAAAGCTGAAATAATTTCTAACACCAAAAGCTCTATGTCAGGGGTGCCAACCTTGGTAACTTTTAAGTCCTATGGGCTTCAACTCCCAGATTTCTCCAGCTAGGATAGCCCATAGGTCTTAAAATCACCAAGGTTAGAAACCCTGCTCTATATTTTAACTGACTTAGAAAATATGCTTGTTATCACTAAAAATGAAAGCAGTGGTTTCCCCCCCCCCCCCAGCTGACATGCTGCAACAGAAAATATAGAAAGGGCATGTAAGATTAGGCCTATGTTCATTCTCTTTGCCAACATGTAAAAAGGACTCCTGGGGATCTGCCTGGATATTCCACAGTGTTCATAAGTGTCTTTTCCTATAAGGAAAGAGTGGGAAAAAAGAAGTTGGCTTTTGCATAGGAGATTGACATCTGAGTTTTCAATGCAAGAGTAGAGCCAAAAGATCTGAAACCAAACCAATGAAATGTAATGACAGTAAACAGATATTAGATCATTCTGCTCTATAGGCAAAAGGGGTCTGGATTCTCCAGGCAAAACATAAATGGAGAAGTTACCGATTGCCTATTGTTGTTGGATTCCGACTCACAGATTCCATTAGCTGTGCTCACAAATATTCACAAGAGCTGGAGTCCAACAAACATCCTACACTAAGATAAGGCAATCCACTTAATAAAAAAAGTCCAAAATAGTAATTAGGGATAACTCATCTACCTGAAATCTTCCTGGGGACAACCACAGGTAGTTCCAGAGGTATACAATGCTTTAAATTGGGTAACAGACTTAGTAAAAATTACAGGTCCTTCCACAAATGTTTTTTAAAGCTGTATTTATTAATAACAGATAACATAAAATATAAATGATACATGGTGTGATGCAGCAATAACATATAGCCAATTGTGGGAACTAGTTATTTTTTTTAAAAAAAACATTTTACATATGTATTTGGTAAATAAAATGGCTATATAACTTAAGCAATTGGTGTTTAATAAATCTAACAATGGATTAACTATCTTAGACAATTTGCACTTTTCTGGTGCCTCTGGATATAAAAAGGTATTTATTTCTTTTCTTTATAAAACAACAGTTTCCTATGATAAGAACATAAAAATTTAGGCACATGCAAAAGAAAGAATGTAACAAGGATGGTATATGCTGGTGCTTTATTTATTCTTGGCTGCTAGAGGTTTACGGCTGATCTTTTTGGACTTATCGTTGTTCTTTTTTGGAGGTTCAGGGTTTGCCTGCATGTGTCTTCCATAAAGGCTGCAAAGAAATTACATAAAGAACACTGTTAGCCCTATGACTAACTCAAGGCTTTCAACACAGCATGTAAAACATTTTGTTTAATACAGGAATGTAATTTTATGAAAAACAGTTCAGCAAGTTTTGAAATTCCCTATGACATCCAAATCTTAATTATTATTATTATTTTTTGCATTAGAGTTGGAAGGAAAAAGGGGACAGAAAAACAACAGGGAAGGCAAAATAAGAAAAACTTGTTAGATTCTTAAAGATTTGGAGACACTGACAAAAATTGGATTGAACTAATAAGACAGAATGGCGATATCAAGGAAAGTGAGCTTGCAGTCTAACTGGAATACTCAAGGGCTTGATAAAGTGACACCAAGCAATAGTGCCAGCTTCTCACACATGATGGATTGCTGGAAAAGAGCTACCAACACATCAATGCCACATTAATACAGACCCCCTGATTAAATGTTGACGAAGTATCCTGCAATTAAGATCGCTGGCACTCACAAGAAAGCTAAATAGACTCTAAGGCTGAAAGGATTTACACTGAAAACCAGAGAGCAATTAATGGATAATTTATGAGTAATTCTTACTTAAACTAAAATTAAAAGCCTTCAAAACAAACAGGATGCAAATGTAAGACTTGCTCTGTTGACAAAGTGTCTTTTAGAGGTTGTTTGAGGTGTCAAGAGAGAAAAGGTTCTCTAAACTTTCTTATTTGGAGAAGAGCCATGCTAATAATAAAATACGATAATAAAAGCAAGCAAAATCTGGTACCTGTTATATATCATACATATGCCACCAAGCTCAGCACATTCAACCTTCAAAACAAATGTTTCTACAGTATTGAGACTGTGGCCACCAATCAGAGAGGACAATATTGGAAAACCTTAATAAGATAGATTTATACATACAACATGTGTGTTTCATTCAATTAGTTTAGTAGATTTTTATTAAACTTCTTTAAGGAAACAGGAAGGGCCTATTCTGATAATTCCTTCCCTAAAGAGTGGTCTCTATCTTGTTGAAACCACCCTCATATCACTTAAGAAAAAGTTAAAAGAAACTGCTCATTATGTAAGTTGGAAAATGGAGTGCAGGTTTAAAAATTGCACTGAACTTGCTAAATCAGGGAGGTGCAAAAGGAAGATATCCAGTGCACTACTTTGGCAGAACCGGTAGCTAATTTTTTGTTGCCCAGGCCCAGAATGGACTTCCGGAAGCGCCATCCTCACAGAGAACTGGTTGTTCACATATTTGAATCCCATCACTGAGGATATCCCAATGCCTTTTCCAATCTGTCGTTCTCTGGTTATGTTGTGGTTCCTGCCAACAATATAAAATATTGTTTATATTTTACCAACCTTGGAAGAATGGAAGGCTGAGTCAACCTCAAGTCTGTTAGGAATGTGCAAAATAAAAATGCGAACACCAGGAGAATATAAGACAGTTAAAAGTTTAGTAAAAACCTTAAAAACTTTTAAAAGCATACAATCATAGGGGCCAAGCTTTCGTCGGATCCTTCCGACATCCTCAGGGCACAAAGTCAATCAATGGGAAAAGCAGTTATAAATAAACCGACGCCTGCATCCGGGCCCTAGATCTCGTGAT